CGCGGTCAACCCTCCCTCCTGGGCCTCGTGTTGCCCTGACCTTCACCCAGCTCCGTGGGAATGGAGGCTGGCCCTCTGTGTGTCCGTGGTCCTCCCCAGCCCAACTCGGGGCAAAGGTGGGCTCTGCCTCCGCTCCCCCCGACACTTCTGCTGCCCCCCTCCCAGGGCAAGAGCATCGCAGTGCCCCCCACCTTGCACATAGGGGGGATTTGGAAAAACAGGGGAAAAGGGAACTGTTATTTTTTCCAAAGCAATCCAAGGATTCTTCCGGAATCATTCGCAAGGGTGAGCTGCCCGTGAAGTTCTAGATTAACTGGAACAGGAAGCTGTCCTGATGATGCCCGTCCGGCGTCCACTCTGTCTGGCTACTCACCCCTCAGATGCCCTGGTCCTGGGGGTCAGGACATAGGATCCCACGGCCCAGCCTTCCCTGTGTGTTCCGGTGCTGCAGGGGTTGGGGCCCAGGGTCCCCCAAAGGCCAACACTCGCCCCCACATCCTGGAAAGGCCACCAGCGATGGGGCAGACACCTCCAAGGATGACATGCGGCACAACAAGGCTGGGCGCAGCCAGGCAGTGGTCCTGGGACTGTGGGCCCTCCGCCTTGCTGTGGGGCGACAGAAACCAAGGCCGTAGAGGAAGCTCTGGGCGTTTGGGGAACCCCCTTTCCTTGGGGAGCCTTCAGAGAGCAGGTTCCCTGGGACACGAGCCACCTAGGTTTTGTGGGGGACTCTGGGGGCCTGCAGACCTTGTCTGGTACCCGATCTGGAAGCTTCTCTTCCCCGGGGCTGATTCCGCCCCCTGGTGGTGGCAAGAGTGAGGTACCTGTCCTGGGCCCGTCCCTGTCCCCGTCCTGGGTGACTTGTCACTCCTCGAGTTAGGGATTTACGACCCAGGTCTCACTGCGGGGGGGAGTCCCAGAGGCTCCTTGACACCAGTGACACGGAAAAGCCGTCCGCGGGGAAGCATGGAAAAGATGGCGCTTCCTGCCCCAGTGCTCGCCGAAATCGTCTCCAGATCTGGGCACTGCCTCACGCTTCTCTATGCGAGCACACAGCTTGTTAAAACGCAAGTTTAAACTGTGGCTAAGGATGTCATTTCTGGGACATTGCTAGAGTTTTAACATCGACATTTTAAAATAAAACTGCCACGTCACTCTTGCAAATGCAACTCGTGGAATCTGCATCCACAGAGATGTGACCAGATGCACTGAGACAGAACCTGGGGGGGCGGGGGGTGGGGGGAGCGGAACACAAGTCCTGAGTGCAGCGTGGCCTCTGCGGGACTGAAAGGACCAGACCGAGACGCGGACAGTTCCCTGACCCACCGCCCCTGTGTTCGGCGCAGGCCGGCCTGCTTGTGACCTCCACGACCCCCGGCTAACTCGGCCTGTTCCTGCAGTTCCTGTAAACAGAACCGCACATCACGTTCTCCTCGGCGTCTGACCCCTTCCACCCGGCCCTGGGTCTGTGTTTGGAGGCGGGGTCTTCACAGAGGCAAAGGGACTTAAACCCGGACGTGAAGGCGGGCCCTGCCCAGACCGGAGGGGGGCGTTTCTAAGAGGGGATTGGGACAGAGGCGCGGGGAGAGGGGGAGACACGAGGGGGCACAGGGAGGAGACAGCTGTCTGCGAGGAGGAGAGGGGCCTCGGCGGCAAGGAGCGCGGGTCTCGGGAGCGGCGCCAGGCGCTGCTCCGGCTGAGGAAGAAGTCTTCGTTGATTTACAAAGTCACAGGCAGAAGTGAGCAGCGGGAGAAATGGGCTCGGGGAGCCAGTTCCAGCAAAAGCAGGGCCCTTGGCGCTTCTCTCCTGAGAATGAGAAAGACACACAGACAGACAGACAGACACGCTCCTGGGGAGACAAAGCGGGAGGAGGGGCTCCGGCCAGCAGCAGCCGCCCTGCAGCGACCTCGCCCTGAGCGCTCTCGCTCGGTCTCAGCGGGGGCTCTCAACGGACTCCTCGTCAGCTCTCCGGTGCGCCCCCTGGTGGCCCCCACTGATTGGCCGGCGCCCGGGCAGGCTCGCGCGTCAGTGCCCCTGGTCCTGAAGCGTCCGCCGCAGTATCGCTGGGTCCGGTTTTGCGGCTTCCCCGGGCCTGGGCCTGGAACCCAGCTCACTTAGGTGTCACCTCCGCGGATTAATGCTTACGGGAGCGGCCATGCAAGGGCTCGTGGTTTCGCCCCTGGCTCTGCACCCCGTGACCCTCTGCGCCTGGGCCCCCCACCTCGTTCCGCTCTGCTCATGGGGGCAGCCTCCTCCAAGCTCACAGCCCGGCGGCTGCTCCCCCAGAGCCAGGGCTCTGACAGGGGTGCAGGGCAGGGATTGATGCTTTGTGTTCCTTAGAAGACAGTCCCTCGACCTGCGCACCCTTGAGGGGCGTCACACAAGGAGGAGGCGGGGGCAGCGCGGGCAGCGGGGAGGCTGCCCACCACAGAGACCGCGAGACACCAAGAACTTCTGCAAAAGACAGAGTGTGCAGTTTTAAAAGTTGGCAAAATGGGCAGGCATTTCACGGAAGAGGAAATTACATGTCATTTAACACCCTCCAGAGGAACTCTCTACGATGCCAGCAATCTGAATGGCACAACGCGGAGCCACAACACATGGGCCAGAAAAACATCTGCCCAGGGCCTGAGGATTGCGGCACCGGAAGCGCCGCCCTGCTGGTGGGCATGGGAAGGGCATGACCACTCAGTCCGGTTCCCAGTCACGTGGAGCACACGCCGGCCTGCAGGCCCGTGCAGGGCTGCTGGTGGCCTGAGGTCGGCGCACCGTGGGCTGGCTAACCAGTTCTGCCCACTACGGCCTCATGGGCCCCGCACCTGGGTGCAGGGAGTCCGGGTGCGTCAGCCCCCTGACACTCAGTCAGGTTCGCTGCTTGCAAGTTCCCCGGAGGGCTATTTAGGACCCAGTAGACTCCAGAGGAACTGCGGGCGACTTGTGCATGACACACCTGACATAGAGACTGACACCGTCGGAAGAGAGAGAAACCCCAGGGTGGAGGGCTTCTTTTCCGCGTGTATTTGTGTGTGCCGTACACTCCAGAGGCTGCCTCACACAGCCCCTGGGGCCACGGGGCAGAGCCCGCGGGCCTGGCGGCTGTCATGCTGATGACCAGGCAGCCTGGGAACAGCCCTGGGCTCTAATCTGAAAGCTGGGTCTGAGTCGGGGTGGCCGGGGTGCTGCTCCCCGGAACCTTAATGGGGAAATGGCTATTTGTAAACTTTTTCCGGGATTAAGCCCAATATCCAGAGGGACACAAGATCTTCCAGAGGCCTCCACCCAGTGGGTGGCTGTCAGAAAGGCGGGGCAGGTGGGGTGGGGTGGGCGGGGCTGGGGGAGGGGCCCCCAGCTCTCAGTGGGGGGGGGCAGGGCGGGCAGACGCGGGTCCCTCCGCAGGTGCTCTCTCTGCACAGCCCCACACCCAGGCCAGCTGGCCGGGAGCAGCCTGGGATTTCCACCTGCAGGCCAGCGGGAGGAAGGGGCAGTTTCGGACGAAAGAGCTGAGGCCAGGAGGCGCTTCCTCGGCCCCCAACCCACAGCCCCCTCCTCTCCTCCCTGTTTGAAGTGTCCCCTTAAAGAAAGGACGGTCCCAGAAGGGGCTGTGGGGCGGCACTGCCAGGCACAGTGACCCCAGGAGATGAGGGCCTGAGGGGAGTGAGGCAGCTGTGTCCCAAGCCCCTGCCCTCACACGCTGGGGGGAGAATAAGAGACAGGCAGCGTCCCAGCCTTCCCCTGTCCCGTGGCGAACTGTCAGGCACCGTTAGCATCTAAAATATACGGGGTCCGGCACAAAGGACACCCTTTTTTAATGCAGAATCGTTTATTACAAAATAACAAGCATGTAATCCTGTGACATGACATTACCACACTCAAGCACCCCGTACGACACTCTAGGTGAAATGGTCACGTTGAAACTGTGCATTAGTGCACTCCCGCCACTACCCTACGGACCACACCCGGGCAGGCCTTCCTCTCGCTGGGCCCCGGGCGCCCTCTCCACGGGAAAACAAAACCCTCTCCTCAAACACCACGTGCAGTGCACATAAAGCTCCCAGAGCCTTGCAACGCCACCGGTTTTACAGATAACTTTCCTTTAATGAAAGGAACCATTTCAGGTCCCGGGCACCGTTTTGAGCTTCCTTGTTCATTTCTTTTAAAAAGATGATCACGTGGTGAAGCTTTTAAATGTGAAAAGTCATTTGTAGCGGGTGGGGTAGAGTTGTCACCTTGTGAAAACAGGTACAAGCAGCTCCCATCAAAGGCACATTTTTTTTCCCCATATAAAACAGCATTTTTACACCGGCACAAGAAAAGCCTCTCATCGTGTGGTAACGTGAAGGCCGGGCAGAAAGAGTTGTGGGCGTTATGCATCGACGCCGGTGGGTGTCCGGGTCCCTGCCCCCTGCACAGCTGTCCAGACTCAGCATGTCCTGCTCAGCCCAGCGACAAGTAAGCCACCCATAGTGGAAGGTGTTTTTGTGCAAACACACCCAGGGACTCGAGGTGCCCTCTGGGGACCCTCGTTTCCTGGAAAGGGCCGAGAAGCAAAGAGACAGTGTGTGGACCCTCCACACACTGCAGCTTTAAGCACCCGAAAGGCAAATATTAAAAGCTGTCAACTTCCACAGTCCTTTCAGCGTCACCAAGTTTACAGATGCAGGAAGGGACTGGCTGTCAATCACAGGAGGGAAGGCGGAGCAGAGCTCTGTGTGTGAGGAGAGCCGTGTCCCCCCCCCCCCCAGGGCTACAGTAACCCGTTCTAACCCGCCCCTGGCGTGGCCTAACTATCTTTGGAAACACAGGGGAGACGATTCCTGCTGCAATTCAAGACTTAAGTTCAAGCCTCACTGGGCCCAAGGCACAGTCTCTAGTTCATGTTCCTCAATCAATTTCAAATGTCCGGGGATGACACTTGAGGCTGTTGATTATTTTCTTTTAATCCCGCGACAAATTCGATGTGAAGAAAAGGGTAAGTACTCCCTCCATACAGGGGAGAAGATCAGATGTTTGGTTCCCCAAAGCTCGGTTGGAGGTGGACTTGCAAAGCTTTCAGAAGACCCAGAAGCGCGCGGAGGCCGCAGCACAGGTTTGAGTGAGTGACAGGTGGGCGCGAGCGCCTGCTGACGGCTGCACGAGCTTCTCTGAAAGGGGCAGCGCAGGGATTCGGAGCTTGGGAAGGCACGAAGACAGGCGAGCATTAAAGAGGCACGGTCGCTATTAGCCTATGAATCTCGCCGACGGCCAAGTATCCTGGGCATTCGTGGGCTCCGCCCGGACCCCCTCCCCGGGCGGGGGCGGGGCCAAGGCCTCCAGCTCGCGCACCACCTGCGTGAACACCTGGTCCACAATCAGTTTGTTCTCGGCCCTCACCTCCAGGAACGGGCAGCGCCACTCGCGTGCCAGCGCACGGCCCCGCGCAGTCAGTACAGGCGCTCCGCGTCCAGGTCGGCCTTGGTGCCCACGAGCACGAGCAGCATGGCCCTGGGCCCGCGCAGGCCGCCCATGCGCTCCCCGCAGCGGCCGCAGCGCCTCAAACGAGGCGGCGCTGCGTACACCGTGCAGCAAGCACCACACAGCCGTCGCCGTTCTCCATGTAGAGGCCCTTGAGGGTGACCAGGTGCGCGGCGCCCACCGTGTCCACGATCTCCGGCAGCGCGGGCACCGCGGGCACCTGGATCACCTTGCTGAAGAGCTCCTCCACCGTCGGCTCGCGCTGCTCGGGGAAGCGCCCGCTGGAGAACCCCGCTGAGCAGCACCACCGGCTAGCCCTTGGCGCGACAGCGCGGCGGGAGAACAGCAGAGAATGGCGCGGAGGCGGGGGTGCGCCGGAGGCGCTTGGGGCGCACGGCCGGGATCTGCGCGCTGCGCTCCCAGCTCGTTCGCCGCGCCGCCCCTCGCTCCTCCCCGGTCCCTGCCCTCCCCGGCCCCGCGGTTCCCTGTCCCGGGCCCCTGGACGGCCAGCCTGGCCCCTCCATCAGTCTCCGCCTCCCGGCTCGCCCTCCCGAGGAGAGCCCCTCGTTCTGCTGCCCAGGGGATAACCTGCCCCTTCCACGTCAACCCGGGAAATGCACGCTTTCCCCACCAGGTCTGACCCAGCCAGGTGGCCGAGAGCCAGGCCAGCCTCGCTCAAGGTCAGGCCTGACTGGCTGCACACCTGGGGCCCCCCTCCCGCCTGGGAGCACCCCAGAAAGGGGAAGCCGGTGAGGCGGCTGCAGGGGGAGAATGTCAAGGGAGCCCTGGTCCCCTTCTGTGCCTGAGGCCCCAGGTCCCTCGTGCCTTGGCCTTCGCCCTGGCCCCCTCCACCCCCTCCTTGTCACTGAGCAGAGCCCATATACAAGGTAAACCACACTTCACTGCCCCACGCAAACCCTCCCTGGCTTGCCTGACCAAGGAGAGAAGAGTGACCACTCAGCTCCCCGTCCACACCCACTCGGTTTCACCACGGAGGAGTGTGCAGACACCCGGAGAGCCTGGGGAAGGGCTGCGGGGTCACCCTCCTCACAGAGAGGCGACAGGCTCCTCGGGTCCAGCTCCCCTGCCAGCGAACGGCCCCTCTCCCGCTGCAGAACCGTCTTGCTGTCCCCTGGTCTCCCAGGTAAAAGGCCAAGGAGGCAGGGCAGTAGGGGCTGAGCCCTGGGGTTGTCCACCCGGGGAAGCTGCAACCCTCTGTCTCGGGCACAAGCAGGTGCCTTGGGGCTGCAGGCAGAGACACCCACGCTTGCGCTGTGCTGGGGGTGTCACGGACCACCCCCCTCGCTCTGAAGCTGACGGAACCTGGGTTCCCTGCTGTCTGGCAGCGTAGGCGCAGAGATGACAGGCGGCAGCACCTTGGCCAGTCGGACTGTGTGGTCAGTCATAGAATGTGCTTTCCTGTAATCGCTGCTAGACCACCCTCAACGTGCCAGTTTTATTAGCGCTCGAGCACAACTGACAACCTGACTTCTAAATGGAGAAATCGTACAGGACAGTCTCTGGCTGCAAAGTAACGAAACTAAAAATCTATTTTAAAAACCGGTAGCTGCGAACGCCGCCTGGAGAAGTGCAAGTTCAATCCAGGTTCCAACAACTTCCCACATAGCTTTCGAGGGGACACAGGCACCGCACTGTTGGAAAGTCATGAAACACTCAGAGGAAAGCACCCTCCGGGAGAGAGCCCCTGGAGACACCAGGCGACGAGAGGGCACCCAGAAAACTGCAGACGTCGGTGCCATCAGACATGCAACGTAATTGCTTCATGTGTTTAAAGGGATAAAGCAAAATCTTAAACACATGAGCAACGAACAAAAGTCTGCAAAGTGTGGTCAATGAATTTGAGATTCCCCCCACAGAAAAAAGTCTTCTGGGAGTGGAAACGATACTTTTCTATTTGAATTAACAGTAAACCACCCCTGCCCCGTTGAGAGGGTGCAGAGCAGGTCAGATGCGGCTGAAGAGAACGGAAAGTGACACCCCTCAGCCTGGGAGTGGTCCTGGCCCGTGTGTGCGGGGCCTGCAGGACAGGTCCCGAGGGTCTTCCCGAGGCCACCACGCTGCCAACTCTCCCGCTGCACCTTAAATTGATAGTTGGTTCATCTGAGCGTGTCGTTAATGCATTTTTTTTAGGCTTTTAAAGCCATTAACGAAACCCGGGCAACCCCGCAGTCCTAACTACCGTCACCTTTAATGCAGTTAGCCTCACCTTCCAGCTGTCCCACCTCCTCAGCCACACCTGGCGAGTCCTGTAACCGTCACAGGCCGAGGCGCCTCCCCAGCTCGCTCACCCCCGGCAAGAAGGCCCCTCCGGTGGGGTCTGAAGGGCGTGCGATCTCGGAACCCCACCCCGAGGTTCCCTTCCCAGGGCCGCTCCTGGCACCGACTCTCCGAATTCAAGTCCCCTCCCGGAGCAGAATCTGTGACGAGGGACGTGATCTCGGGAGCAGGCGGTCTATTTCTGCGGACCAGTCTGTGGGAAACCGGCACATCAGCCTGAGAGGCCACAAGCTCCACATGCAGCTTTCCAGAGTCCACAGTTGCACCTGCCACAAACCCCGCACTCTCGGGCCTGCCGTGAGTATCGGCCGAGCTGCTACAGCAGAGTTCCAGAGCCTGGGCACTTAAACAAAAACACCTCCCATCACAGTTGGGAAGCTGGAAGCTGGGGAGTCCAAGGTCAAGGCGCTGGTAGATTCGGCGTCTGGAGAGGGCCCGGTTCCTGGCTCGCAGACAGCTGTCTTCTCACGGTGTCCCCGCTTGACCAGGGAGCCATCTGGGGTCTCCTTCCTAAGGCCACTAATCCCACTCAGGAAGGCCCCCACCATGACCTCATCACCTCCCAAAGGCCCCACCTCCTGACCCCATCGCTTTGGGGGTTAGGCGTCCACGCATGGATTTTGGGGGGGGGGACACAAACTATATCACACGACATCATTTGTGTTTATTGTTTTCCTCGTTGCCACGCAGCGCCCCCCGAGGGCAGAGACGGTGCGTGCTCACCGCTGAGTCCGCAGCGTGCAGAGCCGGTGGCGCCCCCGTGTGGTGGGTGCTCCGTAGCGGCGCTGCAGCTGTGATGCTCGGCTGAAAACGTGAATTGTTTTCCTCGGCACTCGGACAACTAGGGGAAGAATCGCACAGAACGTGACATGTGCATTTTGTGAGATTTCGCCTGCGGGAAACACGGGGCGACCACAGGCAACCCTACCAGCCGGACCGAGGGGGGAGCGGACGCACAGAACACACACACACACACCCCCGGCTGCCGGGTGACCCGGTGCTGTGGACCGACGCGCCCTCGGGCGCCCTCCGACCTCTCCGCCGCCTCACGTCGCAGGGCTGCCGCCCTTCCCTTCCGGAGTTTTCTTCCGCACCTGGGCTCAGGCCGGCTCAGACAAAGGGCCGTGCTCCTCGTAGCAGTTATGTCTGTTCCAAAAACAACTCACCCCGCGCAACGCTGCTGTCCTCGTTAAGGTTCCTGTCCATTTTTACTGTGTCGCTGCATCGTCTGTGTGTCCCGCCCCACCCCCGTTGTCCTGCAAGTCCCGCGGTGTTTGTTTTGAATTTTGTTTTGAAAACCCCCCGAACTTTAGGAAATAACATAAAACACCTGCATCTGGTTGAGCGCCTGAATAACCGCTCGCCTTTCCGAAGCGAACCCTCGTGCGTCCTGGCATACTGCCTTTCCCGGTGCCCTGACGAAGCTGCTAACTGCGTGCGGAGCCTGCGGCACCGGGAAGGCTGCAGCGCCTGGTGCAGGATGACATGTGCAAACTTCACGGCGTAGTCCTGGTGCCCCGTCCCCCGGCCTGGTCTCGGGCCCTTGGCCTCACGGTGCCCGGGAGCCTTGAACTGGCCTGAGGCTTTGGCCCAGGTTGGGGGGGGGTCTCTCCGACATCCAGCCTTTCAGATGCCACAGGCTCTGGGGGCTGCAGGCTGCTCAGAATGTCCCTTCTGGGCCACCTGCCCCGTGGACGTAAGCTCCAGTATCAGAATGGGGGCCCCACCAGCCTCCCGTTACCGCCCTCATTGGAGTTCCGCCACGACCCGGCCTGGGGAACTCAGAGGCCTCCCCTGGAGGCAGCCCGGCCAGGGCGCTGGGGGCCAGAGGGGGCCCCCACCTGAGGCTTCCCGCCTCCCCCTCCGTCACTGCCCCAGGTGGGCACTTCTTGGCCAAGTCGGGTGCAAAGCTGCCATCGCCACCACTGAACCCTGTACAGGTGCTCAGATCGCCTCACCCTGGGGCGTTGGCACCTGAATGACGCAGGTGCAGGGACAACAGGCTGAAGCTGCTTGGACTGCAGTTCAAGGGCATGTCCAAGGGCGTGTTCAAGGAAGCTCTGTCTGAGCCGAAGTGTGAGTCGCCTTGTGTTTGTGGCCCTGGAGTTTTTCGCACCGATTTCCACCAGGGAGCACAGGCCCCTCGTGAAGGGGGAGGACAGCAGCACCAGCAGGACCCCCGTCCCAGGGGCTCTCAGGGAGCTCGGTTTTCGGAAGGAGTTCGTGGGGGACCCCAGAAACCAACCTGATGCCTGGGGCCTGCATGAGCCTGCCAGCCCTGGGAAAGTTCCGGGCTGCCTCAGGGTGCAGGCCGCAGGGTGGAGAAGACATCCCCCCGGGAGACCCAGGGCCCAGGGGAAGAGCTGACTCCTAGCACTCCATCGACCGTTCAGTCCGTCAGTTAAGGGCCTCTGGCAAGGCAGCTGTCCCCAAGCCAGAGGCTCGACCACCCATCCCAAGGCTTGTGCACATCTGGACTCTTTCTGAGGCTTCCCTGCTGGAGGGGGCAAGGGGCCCCGGAGGCGCTGTGGCACCTCTGGAGCCCCCACCCACGCTGGATCCGCCTCCGGGAGCAGCGCCAGCGCCAGCGAGGCCTGGAGGCGGGGGTCGGCGCCTGAGGCACTCACCCCTCCATGGCCGACCCTCTGGGCCGCTTTCCACGCCCCCAGCGCGCCTCGCCTTTCTCCGCCCTGCGGGCCATCTTTCTCGAATACCTTCTCCACCCCCGGTGGCCCGGGCTTTCGACCTAGTCTGGCCTTGGGTTCTCCCGGGCGGGCGGAAGCAACTCAGCATTTGGAAACCCTGGGAGCCAGGGCGGGAGGGGCGCAGGCAGGGCAGAGACCGGTCCGCGCAGGGGCAGAATCGGAGCCGCCTTGGGCGCCCCGACGCCCCCACCGGAACCTTCTCTTCCTGTAGACTAGTAGTGCAGCGCGGCGCGTTTCCTTCGCCGCCGCCGCCGCCGCCGCCGCCGGAAAGGAGACACCCACGCGTCCCCTTCCCGCCGCTGCCTCAGCATGGACCGTGTCCCCGGCGCTGCTCTGACCCAGCGCCGGTGGGCCCTCCAGCAGGCGCCCAGTCGCGCGTCCTAGGAGGACGCCTGGGCGCCACTCAGCGGTGACTCGTCCCAGCGCGAGTCGCCCCCTCCCGGAGCTGTGGCGAAGTTCTGCCGCGTCCCTGCGCCGCCTGCGGCCGCGGGCGCTCCGCGCTCAGGCTCCGGTGCCTCCTTCGTGGCCGCCCTGCCGCGGTGCTCGCCGGCGTTGGGAACGGCTGCGGGAGCGGGTTCAGGCCTGGAGGTCACAGCCTGGGGCTGGCCTAGGTGTGCGCACAGGTGGGTGGAGGTGGCGACGGCTGCAGCTGGTTCAGGTCGCCCCTGCAGCTTCTCCGGGATGGGCCCTTGGGGTGCAGAACCACCCGGTCCTGCCCTGGGCTCCCAGATCCACTGACTCCGGAGAAGAGAGCCCTCAGCCCAGTTTCCCTGAGTTTCCCATTTGTGCTTTTGACTCCGAGTCAGGGGGACCCCCGCCCCCCGGGAGTTCCTGTCTCAGCCCGCAGGAGATGGAGGCGAGCGGGAGACAGCGCGCGCCGTGGAGCTGAGGCAGCAGGTTCGTTCATGAAACACGCTGGAGCGCGGAGCTGCAGGCGGGCACCCAGCTGGTGCGCGTGCCCCAGCGATCGGGATTTTAGGGGTCTCACTCTGGTGTCCAGCTTCTGGGTCCCCCCCCTCCTCCCTCTCCAGGCCTGGGGATGAACACGCAGTTTCGAAGGCTTTCTTTCCTGGCCAGTGGAGGCGATGTACACGGAGCTCCAAGCCCCCCCCGCTCCTGCACTACCACGGTTTTCCCTGTGATCCTCAGAACACCTGGCAGCCTCACCGGGCCAGGCTCCCAGCGGCTGAGTTCACGGGTGAGGCGCCATCTCCCTCCCTGCCTTGGCTTGCTCCCTATCCTGCCTGACACCTTCCTGGGATGGCTAAATGCAGAGTGGCTTTTTAAAGTTGATTTCCATACTAGTGTCCACACTTGTGTTTTTAAAACACTTAAGCTCAGCTTAAGTGCCCCCCTACCAAGCGCCTCTGAGGACAGACTCGGGGAGAATGCGCTGTGACTGCACGGGGGGGGGGGGTCTCCGCGTGGACTCCCACCCATGGCCCAGGGGCCTCAGCCCCTGGGTGGCTTCTGAATGGCGGCCCGAAGGACACCGCCGCCGCGGTCACACTGGCCCGCGTTCCCCGGGACGCCGAGCGTCACCGTCACGTCCGGTTCGGGCCGCGGTGTGCTGCGTGCCTCGGCCGGCCTCCAGGGCGGGCGCTGCTGCGGCCCGGTTTTCGTCTTCCGGCTGTTTTCCCGTGAAGATCATCGTCCGGCGGCACCTCCCCGACCCGGGCCCCCGTGTGCCGCCTTCGCGCCTCAGTTGCCCGGGACGACAGTCGCCTCGGGATGAGGTCACGTCTGCAGACGTCCTGCTGTGTGCGTCGTCTTTCCTTTCCCTCAGAAACCAGTGTTACGCCCCCGAGTGCTGCTCCACCGGGGCGGCGTTCCGGGTGTTGGAATGTCGCGAAAACGGAGAAACAGGCCGAGCTGCTGCCCGGTGACACGGCTCCCTAAAGAGTCCCTCGAAGTCGGAAGTCGCCGAGGCCGGGGCTCGGGCCGCGGTCGTGGCTGTTTCGGCAGCAGACAGCCGTGAGCTGCCCTGCAGCTGGGTCAGCCACGATTCCGAGGGCTCGCTGGACGTCAGACATCGGCGAATACTCTTGAATGTCCTGAGTGAGACGCCTCAGAAAGCTGGGCACCGGGCGTCTCAGCCCCCACCACACGCCGCAGCCGTCGGCCCCGCAGCCCGAGTCAGCAGGCCCAATGGGAGCAGGTGGTGCCAGAGCTCCCCAGCTGATTCTAACGTGCGGCCACAGCGGAGGACCCCTGCGGTCGCGGCAGTCACGGCAGAGGGGTCTCCCGTGCCTGGGTCTATGCAGTGAGGGAGGGGGCTGGCTTCAGGAAGTCAGCCTGGCTCACCTGTGCGGCAGGGCACAGGAATGGAGACACCAAGACACGGCAGATCGAGCCAGAGAAAGGATTCAAGGAGTCAGAGCCGGCTCCCACCCCACTGCGGGGTGGCCCCTCCCCACGAGCGGGTTCTCCTGCCCTCGGGTGCCAGCCCGCTTCCCACTGCAGCGCACCTGGCACTGGGCCCTGCCACCTGGGGACACTGGCTCCCAGAGCCCTCCAGCCCTGCCCCCATCCCAAGCGGGGCCCAGCGCAGCTTCTGCTCAGGGCCCAGGGGTGGGAGGGAGAAGTGGGGGCCGAGGGCCCTCTGCTCTGGGCCCCGCAGTGGCTTCTCGGAAGGAAAAGGACCAAGACCAACGGGCGGTCCGGGGGAGCGTCAGAAACGGGGCGAGGCTTGTCCTGGCCTCTCAGTGCTAGAGCCGGGCCCCTCCCCTCCTGGTCTCCGTGCAGGAGGGACCTGCTGGCCTTGCTCTGAGAAGCTGAGAGGATACGGCAACTCCAGGAGGAGACTTCTGGGCCCGGCACCCTGAGTGGCACAGAGCTGGGCCCAGCGAGGTCTGGTCCTCTGGTTGGGCTGCACCGCCAGCCCCTGCGGAGCCCTGAGCCCAGCCCCGGGGGCCACACATTCCCCTGTGAGGGCCAGGATTGGGCCCAGGCGGGGGCGGGCTGCACCCTCAGGTAGCCAGGTGAATGAGTCCAGCTGCAAGGCCCAGGCAGGCGGGGGGAGGGGAAGCAGGCGAAGGGCTGATAAGGACCGGGCACCAGGCGAAAATTCTGGGCCAGGCTGGCACCCAGGCCCCTCCCGCCGGCCTCCTACCTATACCTCCAGGGGCTTTGTTCTGGGGGTGTCCCTGTGCCGTCCAGCTGTCTGACTAAAGCAGTGGGCCTGCCCCTCCCGATTCAACAGGGTTTGTCTGCCCAGTGGTCTGCTCCTGGCTCCGTGGATCCCGGGCCCCACCCGCGGGCTCTTCCCGTCCCCACGAGTGTCAGGTGCTGTGGAGTGGGGCCCAGGTGGGGCCTCACAGGCTCCCGGTGGTGTGGGTGCCTGTGGTCCCCGAATCACGCGTGCGTGCTGAAGCGTCACCTTCACTGGGCGCTGCGACCCGGCCACAGCCTGTCCGGTCTTCTGTCCGGTCTTCTGGTCGTGGAACAGAATGGCTGTCCCAGGGAAGCAGAGTGATGGAAAACACCAGAATCCGTTCCCCTCGTGAGGCAGCGGCCATGCCGCACCAGGCTTCTCTCCCTTCTGCGTCTGTACGCTTCTAGGTGGGTTTATGAACCGAAACAGTGCCCAGGGCGGGCCTCGCCTCGCCTCTGGCGACGGGTTGCTTCCCCTTGGAATGTCCGTCCAGCCTGGGGACTGGCCCCCGGCTCCGGGCGCGCTGGAGCTGCCGGCAGCGCCGGGCAGCGCGGAGACCCCGGCCCTCCCTTGTTTCACTGTCCCGTTATCCCGGACTCCCCCTGTCTCACCGCACTTGATAGTTCGGTTTTTCTTTTCCCTTTCTTTAAAGGTGACTGGGTCCGACTTTACTTTGATTTATTTATTTAACCCTCACCCCAGGATATGCTTATTGACTTTAGAGAAAGAGAAACATCTGTGGGCGAGAAACATCAATCAGTTGCCTCTGCAGTGGACCCTGACCGGGGAGTGAACCTGAAACTTTTTGGTGTACCCGGCGGCGCTCCAACCAACCGGGCCACCTGGCCAGGGCCTGACGGTTTGTTTTTTCATCATTTAGTGAGCTCTGCATCTAAGCGGTTTCCATTTTTTTTTTTTAAGTTTAAAGTAACCACTTGGCTTTGACCCAGAGCCCCTGTGGACTCCCGTGCTAATCACCTCCGGAGCCAAGCTGCGGGTGGGAAATGCCGCGCTCGCCAGCGCCTGTCCGCCGGAGTCCCGGATGGCGGGTCGCTGCGTCCTCTGCAGCCGGTGACCCACGACTGATGGACCCCTAGTCGCTGAGAGGAAGGCAGCCGTTCTTTCCGCTTCTCTTTCATTTGTGGCCAGTCCCCGCGGAGGGACAAATTCGCGGGCTGCCGGTGCTGAGTGAGGCAACGCGAGCGGGGAAAGGGGCCGGTTTCCAGTAAATGGATGAAGAAATCCCGCTGAGCTACGTAGGATGCAGCTGGACCCGCGGCTCCGGGCCGGGGTGGGGGAGGGGGAGGGGCGCTCGGAGGAGGAAGAGGAGGTGCCCGGGCCGGGGCACCGGCTGTCCGGTCCCCGCTGTCAGCCCTCGGGGGCCTAAGGCCCCTGCCAGCACCCGAGTAGGGAGCCATTCCACGCGGAGCCGTTCCCTGAGCGTGTTTCAGTGAAGCCTAGCACTGCCGCAGAAATGGCTCCAGATCGCTGACGCGCAGCTGGAGACACTTCCACTCCCGGAGCCCGAGCGACCGCCCCCCCCACCCCCCGACCCGGTCAGCGCCGGCCCAGGGTCTTCGTCACCGGGAAGTGGTCTCGCCTGCTCCTGGCTTTCAGGCCCGGGCGCCCCCAGCCCAGCCCACCTGCAGCCTGGTGGCGTCTCCCGGGGCCCCTCCTCCCCGCGGGGCCTCCACCGCACCCCCACCCAGCCTGGGGCCCGGCCTGGGGAGGGGGAGGGGAGGGGGAGGAGGAGGCTCCAGCGTGCTCCCGGCGGCTGCCCCGGGCCCGGGTCCGGGGCTCCTACCGGGGGCGCCCACTCTGTGGGCGGGAACCCTGTGGCAAGCCCACCCTGCACCGCCGAGCGCTCTTTCGCAGTGACCTCTCCGTGCGCAGGGGCCAGCGCAGGCCAGCGGTCCCGGAGTTCCGGGCAGGCGCTTGAGGACCGCCATGGGATGTGGACCCCGAAACCGCCCCGGAGGGCGCGCGGGGAGGGACCAGCCCGCGACCCTCGCCCCCGCTCGCCTGTGGCAGCGCGCCCCCTGGCGGCGGGGGAGCGCCCTCACTTGGGTACACTCGGCACCGGTGTCTCGGCCTGTGCGCCCTCCGCACCTGGTGGTTCCGGTTCCGCATCTTTTAAAACATTTTAAATCCTCACCGAGAACATGTTTTACTGAATTTTAATTTTTTAAGACTTTTATTTATTTATTTTAGAGACAGGGAAGGGAGGAAGAAAGAGAGGGAGAGAAACATCAATGTGCCAGAGAGCTATGCAGCGGTTACCTCTCACAAGCCTCCGACTGGGGACTCAGCCGGCAACTCGGGCCTGTGCCCTGACTAGGAATCGAACCGGCAACCTTTCAGCTGGCAGGCCAGCAGTCAGCCCAATGAGCCACACCAGCCAGCGCAGGTTTATTGAGTTTAGAGAGAGGAAGGGGGAGGAGAGAGAGGAGAGAGAGAGAGAGAGAAACATGGATCCGTTGCCTCCTGTGCACGCCCCCACCGGGACCCAAGCTTCAACCCTAAGCATGGCCCTGAGTTGACCGCCTGCCCCTGCGCTGTCCTCCTCTGGATCTCAGCGTCTTATGAGCACTGCGCACGTCGCCAAGGAGCAGGAAGGCCCGCAGGGGACAGAGGGGAAGGAGGGGCCGGGTGGGAACGTCTACAGTCAGGCAGCCTTCCCACAAGAAACAGCTACAATAGTGGATTGCAAGGGGGGGGGGTGTTGATTATCTTTTTTAAAGACTGAGTTCATAACCGAGATGGAACCGATTCCTTGAATGACACAACCTGTCCAAACCCACACAAGAGGAACTAGACTATTGGAATTGACGTACCTCTACTACAGAAACTGAGCCACTAATGAATAAACTTCAGAAACGGGAAGCGCCAGGCCCACGTGGGCTCCCTGGTGAATCCTACCAGACAGGTAAGGAAGAAATTATACCAATGCCCTGCCATCTCTTTCGGGAGTCAGGAGCGGAGGGAGTACTTTGACTCATCCTGTGAGGCCAGCATTACCCCGATCCCACAGCCGGACAAAGGCATCACAGGAGAAGAAGGCCACAGACCCATGTCCCTCACTGCACACAGATGCAAAACCCCCAGCAAAACAGGAGCGGATCGAACCCAACAGCGTGTAAAAGAATCACACGCCACAACCGAGTGGGGTCCATCCCCAGTGATCCAGGCCGGCTCAGCACTTAAAAATCCATCCACGGAATCCACCACGTCCACAGACCAAAGGGAGAACCCCCACGGTCCTGCAGGAAAAGCACCTGACAAAGCCCAACACCCGGTGACGACAGGAGCTGCTGGCAAAAGAGCGGTGAGGGGACCCTCTCTATGCGGCTACAGCGATCGGCACTGAGTGCTGTTGGTGAAGGAGTAGGCACGTGGCTTCACGGAACAGCGGGGAGGACCCGGAAACGGGCCACAGGAACGTGATCAATGCATCCCGACCGAGGAGCGACGGCAGAACGGTGGAGTGGAGACGGCTTTCCCACAAACGGTGCCGGAGCGACCGGACAGCCATGTGCAGAGAGAGAGAGAGGGGGAGGGAGGGAGGGAGGGAGGGAGGGAATCCGGACATGCATTTTACACTCTTTACAAAAATCAACTCAAAGCCCTGGCTGGCGTAGCTCAGTGGATTGAGCGCGGGCTGTGAACCAAAGTGTCGCAGGTTCAATTCCCAGTCAGGGTACGTGCCTGGGTTGCAGGCCACAGCCCCCAGCAACCCCACATGGATGTTTCTCTCTCTCTCTCTTTCTCCCTCCCTTCCCTCTCTAAAAATAAATAAATAAAATCTTTTTAAAAAATCAACTCAAAATGGATCGCAAGCCTAAACATACAATGCACACCTGTAAAGCTCCTGGCAGACACACACAGGAGAAAACCCGGGTGGCCTGGGAGGGGGTGGTGACTTTTTGGAGACAACCCTAAAATCATGACCCTTGGAAGAAGTCACTGATGCTCTGGGCCTCATTAAAAATAAAAACTCCTGCTCCACGAAAGACAGTGTCAGGCGACTCAGAGCACGAGCCATGGACTTGGAGAGAACATTCACAGACACATCTGATAAATTGACTTTTGGGAAAGTCACCTGCTTGGTTGGCCTCGGCTACCCAATTCTTCTCAAGGTCAGCGAGGGACCCACAGGGGTCACCAAGCCCCATGGACAGAAGGACAGAAGCCAGGGCAGGGGACCCGCAGACGACAGAGGCAGCGACTGCCCCCTTCCTGCCCCCGCTGAGAACTGAAGTCTTGCAGGGCTTCCCTGCCATGGGAGACCGTTTTGGGTTTTGTTTCTTTGTCGACTTTGAAGGGATCCGTCCATCAGTCATTCTACTATCACCTGCCGTAAGGGCAAACGTAACGGCAGACCTCCATAACTACTGCAGGCGTGCACTTTCCCTCGACTAAGGCAGGCAGCTGACGCAGATAAAAATTCTGACCGGTGCGCCCCGACCAGCGCAGCTGGGTGGGTTGACTGTGGTCCTGCAAACCGAAGGGCCAGGGCATGCGCCTGGGCTGCGGGCCAGGTCCCTGGTTGGGGGCCCGCGAGAGGCAACGGATTGATGCTTCTCCCTGACGTGGGTGTTTCTCGCCCCCTCTTCCTCCCTCCCTTCCCCTCTACCTAAAAATCAATAAATAAAGTCTTTAAAACCATTGGTTTTGAGTTTCTCATCTAGTGGAGAACAGTGTTGGATGCCTGAGGCAGGGCCTGAAGTCCAAGGTCAGCTGCTGGGGGAGCGCTCTCAGAATTTGCCGAATGTATGTTTCGGGCCAGTGAAAAGCCCTCAGGCAAACTTGTCACTGCTGTGGGGACACCCGTCCCCCTACTCTGGCCTAACCCCACGCCACCCAGTTATCTGGGGCTGGCAGGGTCCCTGGGACCGGAGTTGGGATTTCCCGGGAATCCCCCAGGGGCACTGGGCAGACTTGGGGGAGGGGCTGCTGGTGAGAGGCTTTCGGCTGGAGCCCGAGGCCTGGGCTCTGGCGCCCTCCGGTGGACGTGGGGGCACCCTGCAGAGCACTCGGAGCACAGGAGGCAACCGAACCCTCACCTAACCCTAACCCTCACCCTCACCCTCACCCTCACCCTCACCGAGGCTGAGGGGACAGGGACAGTCCCCTGAGCCCCGGTCTCCTCATGCACAAAAGTGGTGGCAGTTTGGGGCATTTCAAAAGCTTGTCAGGGATGCCACAGAGCTGAGCCTGCGCAAGTGACAGCAGCCATAGTTCCCTCCCTTGTCCCCCAGACAGACAGACAGACAAAGGGGCCGAGCCCCACAAGCAGAGGGCCACCCGGTCCTGCCCCGCCCCCTGCCAGCAGCGGCCAGGGCAGTGCCCCCACAGCCAGCAGCCTCTGACACGGAAGCAGGAAGCTGAACTCTGTGGCGTCACTGTCACGAGTGTCCTTGGCTCCAAGGTCATGGGTAGAGTCCCGTGTCCGCTTCAATGGTCAGTCTGCTGCAGCATGTTTTTTCGGCTGAATGCTTATTTTCCCGTTTAAAAATCATTATTATGTGTGTATCGTTATTCTAAAGTAAATTAATAATTCTAAACGAATACTACTTTAAATACTAATTTATTTTCAAACCTATTTTTCATACCTAAATGATATATTATCATTTACTTTGTTTATAGTTGCTTAACGGACCCCAGTTTTCCATTTTAATGAATTACTGTGATTTTAACGAGTAGCTTGCAAAGGAACTAATAAACATGTCGGTTTTAATTTCCCGTTCGGCTGCGGTCACTAGGCAGGACCCAGCAGCTGCCGCCCTTTCCTTCAATAACCGAGAGCAAAGGGCCCCGAGACTGAAGCATTTGAGAGTCTCCGGCCTAGAGCCCAGGTCCGGTCCCCAGGCCTGCGATGCGGTGCCCACTCAGAGCAACGGGACCGCTGCTGCATCCCCAAGCCCCTGCCCCGGTCACTGCCCCCGCCACAGGGTTGGACCTGTCACGGGACGAGGGGGCTGCCCTGAGCCCTGAGCAGATGGAGTCAGGAACCCACACCCTCCGGGGGGCCCGAGGCAGCCCATTCAGGGTCTGCTGGAGGGTGTGGGTTCCTGGCTCCGTGTACAAAAGTCCCCCAACAAGAGTCCAGGCGACTACGAGGGGACTTTTGTTGAAGCTGGGGATGGTGAGACAGGGGAGGGCTCAGCGTAGGAGAAGCAACGGGTCAGCCTGGGCTGGGTGGTCTTTGCTCCCCAGAAAGTCAGAGAAAGGGGGGCTCTGGGGGCAAGTTCAGGGGTGAGCTCGGCTGCCCACTGCCTTAGAGCTCAGGAGACACGACGGGCCTGTGAAGACAGAAGTGGGGGAGGAGAAGGGAAGGGAAGGGAACAGCGCAGGCTGCTCCCCAGAGGGAGAGTGCGCGCTGGGCCCTCTGACTTGAGGCTTTTGTCTCCCTCCCGCAGGAAGGAATGCCAGACGAGGTCCCAGGCGAGGGTTGCTGCAGACGATGCATCGGTTCTCCAGGTGCGCCCCTTCGGGGTCATCGTCTCCTCTGATTGGTCAGTAGTGGCAGGCCAGGGGGGCGTTAGTCATTGCAGCTGTTTCTGGTATCGCCCACCTGGTCTTGCTGCTTTTCTGGGCTTGGAGCTGAAACACAGCTGAGGCCTGGATGTCGTGTCCAGGGAGGCGAGGCCAGGGAGAAGAGGCGCCCTGGGGTGAGGTCCTTGTGTTCCCAGTTCCGCCCCCTGCCGGGACCCAGTTCTGCAGCCGGCTGTAGATCGCTCGGCCACTGTGTTTGCTGCCCGTCTCAGTCTCCCTGTTCCACTTGCCAAGGAATTTCCCTAGATTTCTGCTATCCTGTCTCCTTCCCCCCCTCAGAGATTTCCACCCCTAATATCTCTGAGGGGTGATGAGGGAGGAGGGTCTCTCCTGAGCAACTGCTTCCTGCTGACAAGGGTCGTGGCCCCTGCCTGCGTAAGGTAGGGAAGCTCTTCCCGTCTGGTCTAAGAGAGGCAAAGGGATGGGATCTGAGACTGGAACAGAGAGGCTGTTACCTGCTTCTTCCAAAGTAGCGGTAGGCTGGAATCCCAAAGCAGCATCGTCTTCATACAGAGTCGTTGCATCCAACACAACCATCTAGTCCTGACAGGTCCGTTCAGCCAAACCAGCCTGTCTCATTTCAGGAGGTGGCAATGCAGATGGGCTTCTGAAGCGTGGTGCGTATTGTATAAACAAGCGGCCAGGTAAATAAGGTCATAGGCGTACACTCTGTGAAGACAGAAAGAGCACAAAGGTTAATGAACACAGCAAATCACAAACCAGTTTCTGAGTCTTCAAGACTGTCCGTTGAGCAGCCTCCCAAATGCAAGGCTTTTGCAAAGGTAGGGCTTTGGCTGGAATGAAATCGAGCAACGACAATCTGAGAGATGCTCTTTGTCTGCAGCTTAAATGTCTGGTGACCTCATCCGGTGCTCAGGTAAGCTCTGTGTGGCTTACGCTGCATTAGTCGTTCTCAATAATTTCAAGTCAAAGAATGGGAGAAAAAAATGAAACATTAGCTTGGAAGAAAACTAGAAAAATTAGGACTCAATTTAGTTTGTGGGGAACAATTGGGCTTTGCAGGTTCCACTGAAACACAATTTCTCTCCCTACAATTACCCTCATTTTTCAAGGAGATTGCATTGAGTCTAGTTTCAATGTTGCCTGATTATTTCCATAACACAAGAACAGCAATTAATCACATAGGCTCTTTGAAATCTGCTTTGCTGGAATTTCGCGAGAAGTCTTCCGACTGAGCTTTAGTCAGCTCCTCGGGGCACAGAAGCCAAGCCAAGCCAGAAGCCATGGCCACAAGTGGCCATGTGGCTTTGCCTGCAACACCCATAAGTTTGGGGAGCAGCCCACACCATTCCCTTTTCTTTCTTCTTACCCCCTATTTTGTCTTCACAGGCACATGTCTCCTAAACGCAAGGCAATAAGCTGCTGGCAGCTTGTCCCAGGCTAACCCCCTGAACCTGTCCCCCAAGGATCCCCTTTTCTCTGACTTCCCAGTGAAGTAATTAAGGCAGTTCAGCCTAGGGTCTCCTGCTGCTGCCTCTTCCTAAGCCCTTCCTTGTTTCATTGTCTCCAGCTTTATTTTTTAAGATTTTATTTATCTGTGCCCTGGCTGGTGTGGCTCAGTGGATTGTGCACTGGCCTATGAACCAAAAGGTTGTTGGTTCGATTCCCAGTCATGGCATAATGCTAGGGTTTCGTGCTGGGTCCCCAGGAGGGGGTCATAAGAGATAACCACACATTGATACATCTCTACCCCTCTCTCTCCCTCCTTCGCATCTCTCTAAAAAGTAAAAAAATAATAATAATTGTAAAAATGTTTTATTTTTTATTTTTGTGGAGAGAGGGGAAAGGAGGGAGAAAGAGAGAGGAAAAAGCATCAATGTGCAAGAGAAACATCGATCGGTTGCCTCTTGCACACCCCCAACTGGGGGCCTGGCCCGCCACCCAGGCATGTGCCGTGACCGTCAGTGGACGTGGGTGGCTGCCACCTCTTAGCCACTGCGCACAACACTGTTGTGAACACCGGTGACGGCACATCCGTTCCAGCCCCTGCTCCCACTTCTTAGCTCTGGTGCCTGTACCGCTGGCAATGGCGTTGTCGCCGCCTCACTCTGAAAGCTTCCCTCGCCTTGGAAGCTCCCACTGGCCCGCGGGGTGGCTGACCCCGGGAGAGACTTCCTGGGAGGCCCCGTGGCCCAGGGCCGCCCGCAGGCAGCCCCGCCTGAACTCTGCTCAGTGGGCTCCGCTCCGTGTGGTGCGGGGCGGGGGCGCCTGCCGCCCCCTCCTGTGTGCACAGCCGTGCCCTCCGGCTGCGGTGACTGAACCCGGCCTCCGCTCCGCTCCGCTCGCTGGATGCCGCCGCCTCCCACGTGCCCGCTGTGCGGACTCAGACCCCCCTCGACCCGGACTGCGGCCTCCACCCACCGACCCGGCCCGGCCCGGCCCTGGACCCCGCACAGCCCGTGCGCGCGTCCTGTCACGGCCGGAACAGGTCACCGCAAACGTAGTGGCCTAAGCCGCACAGACTTGCTGTCCCTCGGTCCTGGGGGTCAGAGGTCGGGTCTCTCCGGCTGGCTCCTCCGGCCGCCCTAGGGGACGGTCCCTTTCCTGCCGCCCCACCTTCGGGAAGCGCCCCACCCCTGGCTCACAGCCCCTCCCTCCCGGCTCCGGCTCCGGACCCAGCAACAGCCCCGCATCGCTTCGCTCTGCCCACCCCCGCCTCCCCCGCCCACGGTGGGGGACCCTGTGCTGACCTCAGGAGCGCCGGACGGACAGTCCAGGCTCTGCTCCCGACAGGAAGGTCGGCTGGTCGCCGTCTGAACTCCACCTGTGACCGTGGCTCCCCTTGGCCATAGAACCTACACGCAGTCACAGGTCCAGGGTCAGGTGTGGACACTGGGGGGCAGCCTGTCTGTCCACGCACCATTAGCACCAGCCTCCCCCTCTCTCCCCAAAGTCCCTGGAAACACGCGCTGTCCTCCCCGCCCCCCGCCGTCTCCCACCCCTCCCCCACCCCATCTGAAGGGCTGTCCTGGGCTCAGCACAACCCCGTGTGCCTTGTGCATCGTTGAGGACTCACTCAATTCAGCATTCTAGAATGTTCCTCCAGTTGTGGGACCGTGTCCCCGTTCCCCAGCACGCCATTCCCTGCGCCCACGACTTCCTGCTCAGGGAGATGGAAACGCGCATGCGTCTGGGGTCACCGAGAGGCGCTGAGCTCACAGAGCGCCCCCAGCCTGCCGGGTTGGGGCGCTGCCCTGACACGCACCATAAGCCGGCACCCCACGACCGATGCCCAGTGTTGTGAAACGGGGTTCGTTCCCCCACGCTCAGTGTTCCCACGGACGCTCTTGTTGCTGCCCACAGCCACCCTAGGGGTCAGGCACGCGCTCCCCGACGGGGGACTGAGGCTGGGCCGGGCCAGCGATGCCCCTGCGGCCCCGCAGCCAGAGGGCGCTAGAACACAGGCGGCCTCCGGGCGGCTGCTCTGCAGTGCCACGTGGGGGGATGCTCCCGGAACCCCAGGTCCTTTTGTAACAAAATCCAGAAGCCACAGGACGCTCTGAGTCTGGAGGTGTTTCCCCGAGTCCAGAGCCTGACGGGAGCACTCATGGTGGGTGCGTCCGGGTGACAGGGGCCCCCCTTTGGCAGCCCCGCAGGATGGCTGGGGAACACCAGCACCCCACACACAGTTCTCCAAGAGGCCACGGTGGGTGTCACCACGTTGTGGGACGGCGCCCATCACTAATGCACTGGGGTGGCAGGGCCTTGGCGTCACGCCTGGGTCTGGGAGCTTGGCTGCGATCCCAGGGTCTCGAGCCTGTGGCGCAGGCCAGCAGCAGCCTCCCAAGCCACAGAGCCTCAGGGTACCCCAGGCACCGGCAGCCCCGGCCTGGCCTGGGGAGATAAGGGGGGAGGGGTGGGGGCAGAAATAAAAAACACACCCGCTGGGCTTGGCCACAGCAGCCTCCCCGTCCTGCCAGTCCCTGTCCCAGCGCCGCCAGCACGCGGCCTGTGTGCTGACAGACTCCAGGCCGCGCCCCACCCTGGGGCGGTGCTGACTCAGGCCGCAAGGCAGGCCTGCCAGGCCCGGGAGAAGCCAAGAGAAGCCAAGTCCCGGGGCTCCCCAGATGGGCTGTCCCCTCCAGGCAGGAAGTGGTTTTACTTTCAGAGCGCTCTCTTACTCTAACTCGGGAGTTTCTCGGAAACCACGAGAAGATGCTCACTGATTTCTCCTCTGCCCAAACACACTGGAGACTGCCAACGCCCATGTCTTCACCGCACTCCAGCCTCTCACACCACCCTCCAGGCCCAGGGCCGTGCCAGACAGCTGCCGTCTCCGTCCCACGTGGGTTTGCTCTCCCGCCTCCACGTGCGTCCGAGCCGCGTGCTCACAGCCCGGAGCAGGGCCCCTCCCTCTGCTCTGCAGGCCTCTGAGGACCCCCCGGAAGTTCTTCCTGAACCTCGAATTCTCCCAGTGCCTCGGACCTGAGGCCTCCTCCCTGGGCTGAGCCTGGGGCCCCGATATCAGCCTCTTTAGGGGACCTTGGAGCCTTGACCACCTTTCCGGCCCATCCCATCTCTCCGCCTCCCGTGCTCCCCTCTGTGCCCAGCACCTGGCACCTGACGTCCTGGGCTTCAGCTGCTCCTGCCCTCCCTGTCCCCTCACTCTCCTGCCCCTCTTCAGTCTGGTGTGAAGGTCACTTCCTCCAGGTGGCTGTCCTTGGCCCCCAAGACAAGGACAAAGCAGCCTGAAGCCATGGCACCCGGCCTTCTCTCCCTCACCTCTGCCCAGGGTCTCTCTCCCCAAAGGCGCGGCCGCTGCAGGAGTCAGGCGCCCGGTTCAGCAGGCTACATTGTAACGAGACAAAGGTCGCAGCCAATGAGACAGGTTTTCAGTAGGCTGCTGCTTTGATTTTCTTGCTGGCCCGTTGTGATCAGCTCAGGGGCACCTGAAGGGCCAGAGGTGGGGAGACAGGACTCGGAAAAAGGCTGCACACGGAAGGCCACAGGTCCTCCGGGCCGCCCCTCGGCTACTCGTCACTGTCCACGGCCCTGCGGCTCCCATCTAACCGTGCGCACTTCTGAGGACTGTGGCCTCAGCCGCCCTCCCCCCCGGGGCGGATTGTCCTGGAGCCACACCTGCGGCAGCAGCGTCTCTGGCTTGGTGGGCCTGCGCTCGGGTCCCACACTCACCAGCACAGGTCACCGACGGTTCCAGAACGCCCCGCGGCTTTTTACTCCTGGCCCTAGAACCGGCCTGAGAAGAGCGCAAGGTTCTAGGGTTGGGGCGGGGAGGGGGTGGCAGTTGGATAAAGGAGAGGATCAACGCGAAGCAAGTTCTCTGGGCTGGGAAGCCCAACCCATTGGCTCTTAACGGGTCTCCCTGCAGAGATCACAGCCGCTGTCGCCACCTACTGGCCACGGGTGGAAGTGGCCTTTGGCCTTTGGCTCACGGCCCACCTGGCGGCATCTGCGCCCAGGTAAAGGAGCCCAGACCGGGAGAATGAGGACTTCCCCCCAGAAGAGAGGCGAGACTCTGATCGACAGAGGAAACTTTCAGAGTAATATTTCTTCTTTTTAAAGAATTTATTTATTTTTATTTTTAGAGAGGGAAGGGAGGGAGAAAGAGAGGGAGAGAAACATCAATGTGTGGTTGCTGGGGACCGTGGCCTGCAACCCAGGTATGTGCCCTGACTGGGAATCGAACCTGCGATGCTTTTGTTCGCAGCCCGCGCTCAATCCACTGAGCTACGCCAGCCAGGGCTCAGAGTAATATTTCAATAAGCACTTGAAGACTTCGAGTTCTTTCAGAAAAAAAAAATGTCCCCTAAAAACACAGCACGGCAGAGAACGGGCGCCCCCGGGGCACCCCGCCCCACACGCCGGCACCGTTGACACCCCCGTGGGCACCTCACGCTTCACACTCCCAGCCCCCGAGGAGAGCGGCGCACGCGTGTTCGCTCAACCCCCCCCCAACCCCAGCACGCGTTTCAGGCGTGGCCCTGGGCCGCCCCCACACGCAGAGCCAGCGGCGTTTGCTCCCCCGGCGCGGGCCCTTCTGGCGCCTTCTCTCCCGCTCGACTCAGGGGTGCTCGCCTTAGCCATGACAACACTGGACTCTGGTTAAATCCGAGTCTCAGATTCTAAAGAGACTTTTTTCCAGTTATGTCTGTATGCCTACAACACTTAGGATGTATTGATGGTTAAAAAGTTATTTGTTCTGCCCTTGCTGGTGCGGCTCAGTGGATTGAGCACCGGCCTGTGAACCAAAACGTTGCTGGTTTGATCCCCAGTCAGGGCACAGGCCTGGGCTGAAGGCCAGGTCCCCAGTAGGGGGCACGTGAGAGGCAACCACACATGGATGTTTCTCTCCCTCTCTTTCTCCCTCCCTTCCCCTCTGTCCAAAATAAATAAATAAAATCTTTTTTAAAACGTATGTGTTCTTTCTGGGGTGGGGGGTGGCCCTGGATGGGGGCTGTGGCGGGGTGCGGGGACCCGGCGCAGTGGCTGCGGTGCCAACCGGAAACTGCTAAACTTCCCGTGGAAGCGAAGTAGGGTTTCATAAGAACAGGACGGAGGGAGAAGAGAGAACCTACGGAGGCTGTGCAGGCCCTGATGTGGTCAAGTTGGTATCTCCGGTGGGTCGTGCATTTATTGTAAAGAGGGAACATGCACTGACCTCAGGGACAATAAAAGCCACATCGAGTGGCCCAGGTCAGCTTGCCAGGAACGAAACCAGTGAAGTCCACGTTGGGGCGGTCCCTCACAGGTGCGCTCGGAAGTGTGCACGTGCTTTACGTACAAGGTTCGCTGCACCCGCAGCTCCCGGAGACGCCGCAGTGCCCGGCCGCACCTGGAATTGCCCTGGGACTGCTGATGGCTGCGAACCTCCTGGATTGTTAAATAAAATAAATCACAATAAACTGTTCACTTTTTTCAGGATTTTTAAAAAAGTTATTTGTTCTTTATCTGAAATTCAAACTGCGCCGGGTGTCCTGTATTTTACCTGGCAACCGTAGGGCAGCCTCAGCTTCTCAAAACGCTGGTGGCAATCCTGACCCAACATCGCCATCTGCTGGTGAGTCCCGCGCCCCCATTTGAAAACGCCACCTTAGGTGACAGGGCCACAGGCGTTTCCTCCCACACGGGACCCCAGACTCAGTGGAGAAACACGCATTGGAATCTAGCAGCCAGGAATCAAGCTGACCGGAATCAAGCTGACCGGAATCAGACGGTGACCTCTCGCTGAGCGGGGCCACGCCCAACCCACTGAGCCGCACGGGTCAGACCTAACCGGTATTTTGTTGCTGTTGTTTTTGCCTTCCTAAGTATACCCCAAACGTAGCCGCCACGGCGGCGCTTCTCAGACCGAGGTCTCAGCAGCTCGCTCCTCTCCTTGGAGAAGAGGGTCTTGAGCGGCCCGCTCCGCGCACAAAGCTGAAGGGTGTTGTCTACTGTTCTAGAAGTGACCGGCCGTCCGTGACCTGGCCCCTCTCCACACCTCCAAATACTTGCTCCTCGCCCACGTTGGGCCGGCCCCAGTGCGCTCGCTCCTCGCTGCCTCTCAAACACTCCCGGAGCGGCTCTGCTTTCAGGGACCTGCACCTGCTCTCCACGCTGGCTGGACCACTCTCCCCGGAGCCAGCGCCAGGGTGGTTCACCGACCCCCGAGGACAGTTCCGGGTCAGGGAGCACACGCCGCGCCGCACCGTTCCACGGAGCAGACTTGTGTGGGATTGGTGGAGCAGGCGTGAAGGGCAGGAGCAGCCCACAGCTGTGTTAAGGCTGACACTGGAGCCCTGGCTGGTGTGGCTCAGTGGGCTGAGTGTCGTCCAGCAAACTGTAAAGGTCTCTGGTTCGATTCCCAGTCAGGGCGCTTGTCTGGGTTGCGGGCCAGGTCCCCGGTTGGGGGCATGTGAAAGGCAATAGATTGATGTTTCTCTTGCACATTGATGTTTCTCTCCCTTTCTCCTTCCATTCCCCTCTCTCTAAAAATAAATACAATATTTTTTTTAAAAGGCTGACGCTGGATGGCAAAGGCAGGAGTGGCTAGCGCCCTACAACTCACAGGAACAAGATGGGGTTATCAGCACCTAGCGGCTCACCGGCGTGGCCACGAGTCACGGCTGCCACACCAGGACGACACACCGATCCTCTGCGGAGGG